CATCACTGAGCTACAACCCCAGACCAATGTAATAGCCTCCTATCACACCTGGTCTTCCTTTTCACAATCTGTTCTCCAGATACCACCAAAATAGTCTTAAAAAAAAAAAAAGGACCAAGTGTAGTGGCATATGCTTATAATCCCAGCAGCTGGGGAGGCTAAGGCAGGAGGATCACAAATTAAAAGCCAGACTCAGCAACTTAGTGAGGCCCTAAGCAACTTAGCAAGACCCTATCTCTAAATAAAATATAAAAAAAAAGGGCTGGGGATGCAGTTCAGTGATTGAGTGCCCCTGGGCTCAATCTCTGGTACCAAAAATAAATAAATAAGGCCTAGAGTGTAACTCAGTGGTAGAGTGGATGCCTAGCTTACACAGGCCCTGGGTACAACCCCCAGCTTCAATAAATAAATAAGTGAGTGAATAAATAAAATCATTTCACAGCTCTAGTTATTTATTCATTTTAGGCAGCAACAACTTTTTTCCTTTATTTCTTCCCTTTATGAAAGGAAATTCAAGTTCTGCAGCTATCCTTTTCTGCCCTCAAGTCTCTAACCAAACAAATGACCACAGACACCAAATCTAAGGCTGGATAACAGCACAGACCTCAGACACTTGCCTCCAGGTCTGAGGTCCAAATGGATATTTGTATCAGTAAGTCAGCATTAAAAAGAAAAGCACCACTCAAAACCGGGGGTGGGGGGCAGCTAGACCTGAAGCTTTCATCAGGTAGACCAGAGGCAGGCTTCTGAGTAATGAGTCTCAAGACAAGAGGCCACCTAAGCTTGGCTGGATGGAGCCCCACAATAATGATGGCCACCTCTGTTTGTATAGAGGGCTGTTGAGAGTAAGCCAGCTGAGTTGTCTGAACAAAAGTGGAACACACAAGTCTTTCAAAGGAAGCCATCAAAGCATATCAGGGTTACAGCTCCACCTTTATGTGCCCAAGCGGTTGCTGAGTCAGTGGTTGGTGGAGACTTCCAAGGACAGGAGACAATAGGGTACTTGTAGGCCATGTAAGCCTCTCAGGAGACTTCCAGGAGGGAAAGCTCATTCTGGGGGTCAGTTGACCATGACTTTACCCAGGGCCTCCAATACCTCTCACTTAGAGTCCTCAAAGTCCCCCATCAATTTGGCTAACAATTTGCTCCTCCACCACCCACAGTTGGCAGTTGGTTTGTGTGATGAGTCAGGTATCATGGCTGATGACAAT